GAGGCTCAGGAAGTTTCTGTTTTAAAAGATATTCTAATTTTTAGAGATTAAACAGTTAATTAACTGTTAATTCCAGCACCCCACTATTTTGTGTCCCTGACCGAATATTTCATCTGGACAGACCGGATTAATTTGACTTTTAGGGCTTTTTTTCTAATAAATTTCTACGCGTTTAATTTAAACACCCTGCATAATAGGTATTGCTAGCATCTACGGTGCATCCCAACGAACCACCCTGGCTTAAGGACCATTTCTCACAATTGTAATTCAATGTTATTCAATTGACCTCCGGCTATGAAATAACAACTGGGAACAGGTCATTACGCGTGATATATATTTCACCGGAACCTTCACTTCAAGAAAGTAATGCTAAGTGCCAGTTGCCACTGAGATACTAAGATAAAACACTTTGGTTTGAACGGGTCTCAATGGGTTTTTTGTTTACTAAATATGGGAAAATATTTGCTCCTCCTTGAGCGTTGACGTTAACATTACATGCGCATGGTTAGTTCAAGTTCATATGCAGAAGGATAAGTTGAGCTGTGTCAAACTTTTATCTGATTCTTCTGCAGGATGGGCTTCCATCGCTGTCCATTAATATTTGAACGTTTCGACGTAATTAGGCTTTTTCCAAGCTTAGAGTCCCATACAGTAAAACTTGAAACTATATAATGTCCACGCCCGCGTTCATTTTTTTTTTTTAATTCGGGGCTTGTATTGCAAACCTGCTAGGCATTGTTCCCTTAAGTAATGTTTTGAGTAAGTGCTATTCATGTCACTTTAACCTGTTTGACATCACTTTTTTTCATGCTTTCATAATGTAGCACATTGCATATAATGTAACTCGGGTGGTGGTGAGAAGAAAATACTTTTTTTCTTATTCCCTCTTTCTGCTGAATAAAGTCCGTAAAGTCGAAGTTGAGAAAATATTAATAAACTGGCAATCACAAAAAAAAGCACTTTAAGACATATCGACCTTAAAGGGAGTAGGGCCTTGAAGAGTTAAATATGTTTGATAGAGAACAAGTACATTCTGATAACCAATTGTTGCCATACACGCACTCCACGCTTGTAAGACTGATGTCATGCTTTCTAACAAACACTCGTTGGCTTTTTGTTGATTTTGACGACTTTCGGTTTAGATGGCCCACAGAACGCCTGTATACTTTCTGCTGACTCTGTGTCAAGATTCTCCTGCTGCCTTTCTGTATAAACGTGTGCAGAAAGGCTGGAAATAAATTATGTGCACTATTTTATCTTTGAGAACATAAATTATTTCAGTTAATATTTTGTTGTCGCTATCAACAAATAACCTGCAAATATTTTTTTCTTTACAACCTTTTACATTAATTTTTCCAGCGTGAATAAAATTCTCAAATTCAGTTACGTAAATTAAAACGTTGTTTCTTATAGAAGTACTTTTGTGCTGTCACCTTGGTCACTTTTTACAAACTGACTAAAAAGGTTCTTAGCGTCCAGAAAGATTTTTACTTCCGAAATATACCTTTGTTCTCAGCTGAAATGAAAGAAATATACGATTTCTCGCGTGCGAAACGATGAAAAGGACCTCCTTCCGTCCGCCATTTTGCCTGATCAGCGAGCCCTTTTTAGGTGGCTAAATTTGCGCATGAAGTTCGGTGCCCTATTTTAGCGATAAATCAGGAATAAACCTGTCTACCCTCGGGCTATGTTGCCGGTTAGTGACCACTCGGTTGCCAGCTGAAACGTTCACTTTGAACGTAAAGCAAATACTTCTGTCCGTGGTTCCGCATCTGTCTTTATAGAATATAGAATATATTCACTAACATGGGCAGGACACTATTAGAACATGTTATAATATCCCGGCTTGCGTACCAGCGAACAATGATAAAATAAAAAAAAAACAGATTACGAAGGCTGTTACTGGTGAGATAGAACATAACAGAACGCGGCTAGTTTTAACTGACAAAGAATATTCAGCCAGTAGGATCCGCGAAAGAAAATAATTATTGAGAGAACTCAGGTTGGCTGTAAGACTCCCACATTATCAATTTCACTATATTTCTTTGCAGCCACTATAGTTTGTTGCAAGTAACGAATAGCTGGACAAACCCTTGCCACAAATGTATCTCCTCATCACGATTGGCTGTTTCCTTCTCTCCAGCTCTATTTCTACTAAAGTCAAAGGAGTGGTGGAGGTCCTGACGGAGCCAGCTTGCCACTATACCCACCACTTTTGTAAATGCAGGAAGCTGTGGGTTTAAAGGGGCCTTCATTTACACAAAAAGGACTATCATAAAACCACACTTTTAAATTTATTGGTGTTAGTACTTAGACATCTGTCTATTTCATTTTCTAAAAAGCGACCACTTCTATTATGTATTTACGCAATCCTGCATGCCATGCTGTCTAATAAACCAGCCATAAATTACGTTTGTTAAAATTTATTATGTCTCTCGTTGATGCTATCGCTGCCGATATCAGCTTTATGAAAGGCACTATTATTTTTTATGACTAAACAAATTATATTACTTATCGTCGCTACATGTAACATGAGCGCTTTTAGGTACGATGTAACGGTAAATGCCGCTGAAGAAATGGGCATCTCTGAAACACCTGAGTTACGGATATCTATATAAAACAAAATCCAATAGCCGTGTTAGCAACCAATGTCCCTGCAGAGTATCAATAGAAATAAAAAAAGAAAAAACTCGTCGAGGTCCTTCAAGACAGTTTGCGTGTAGGAGTGCGAAAGCAATCCTAAACACAGCGCATTCTTCCAAGCGGCGCGCCACGTCTTCCTTTCGCACACGGCACTCCGACGGCGACCTCACGCTCCCCGACTGCGCAGGCGCGGTGAACCCCGCCGGCCTCACGTCGGCTTCCGTGGCAAAGCAGCTGCATTGCTGCGCTTTTCTTTGTGTTTTATTTCTGAGGCGCCCGCTTTGACCTTGAGGCCCCCCCCCCCCCCCCTCCCCCGCAGGCTACCGTGACGAGGCATCGGCGTAATCGTGCTTTTCTTTTTTTTCTTTTTTTTTAGGGGTGCGTGCTTGATGACGTAGTTTTAGGGCAATCTTTTTGGGACAGCGCCGTCGCTTTTTCGCGTAATGGGAGATATGAGGCTTTCGCCTTAAAAAAAGTTTCTGAAAGTGAAATAAAGCTCGTTTAAAGCGATGCGTCGTACAATATTGAATACGGAAGCTACTCTTTTGCTCTAGGTTCGCTTCCTATAGCTAGGGTTCCGTGTTTTCGGAGTTTATTTTTCGTCAAATTCGGAAGGTATTTTTCGGCGTTGATTTTTTTGCCGAAAATGTGGAGTTTATCGTGGTTTCTTTTTGTTTGATTTTCAATCGTTGGAAATTCGCAGTTTATTTCCGCAGTGTTTGTATTATTAAAAATAAATAAATATTATCTAGGTGTAAACGTAAGCTGGACAAAAAGAAAAACGCGAATGTATCAAATTAATATTTTTTTCATGTTGTATTTGGTGTTGGTGATATCACTACTGGTCATACTAATCTGTCCAACGGCAAAGGTTGCACACATGTGTTGCTTCGAGAAATGTCGAATCCTTAAAATCAACAAACTCCTGGAGGTGGTTGCTGGGAAGCTTCTATTCGTTCCATACTAATCCATCAACCTACCGCGCGGCCGCGCGACGTAGAGTGGTAAAGGATGCAATATACACATTAAAAAAAAGGACGGGACACAAAGTAGAAGGAGGACTCAGGATATACGCTGAATAACAACCAAAGTTTTACTAGTACTTCAACACGCGCAGAGTGGGACGCGTCCCGTCCTTTTTGCGCTGTTTTTCAATATGTCGTTCAACCAACCAGCCCAGCAATCTATCTTGTTAATGTAATAGAGATATTTCAACTGCCCCTCTTCCCCACTTTATGCAATCTCTACGGCCCATAGCTTTCACTGTTACAAAATATAACCTTTTCTTCTGCTAAGCACAAGTAATATGGCCCAAACTTGAAACATAAACAGTGACTTATGTCGTGACCCGAAAGTACAATGCCTAAACCTGACCTGGCGAAACCTGTCCTGACCACAATTGGAAACACAAGTGTTGTGGTATTTCCCCAGGATCATTGACTCTACGTGCTGATGAAAGTTGTAATTGTGAAATACTTATGTGTGTGTGTGGGGGGAGGAGGGGATTAACACACCGAAATTCAGAGTTTATCGGGTAAATAAAAATTGAGCAAAATTTTACCGGGGGGTCTTTTTCGGAGTTTTTCGGATTTATTCGAAAACAGGGAACCCTACCGATAACCAAGTTATAACATAGCTAGGTATTAAATTGACACAAATTAACAGTTTGAATATTTAGTTAGTGTTAAAGTGTTATATATAAAACATTAATATGAACGAACCTTGATGAATCTTGGTTCTACTGAAGGGAGGCAAATACTAGGGAGTTTTAGGGAACTGTTTTTGCACTTCCGATACTTTACAATGGACCCTCCGGTATGAATTGCACATGCGCTAGCACAGAAGACTCGCATATGCGCAGTTTGTACCAGAGAACCCATCTTACCGTATCGGAGGCGCAAAAACTCTTCTCTAAAACTCCCTACTATAAACGGAAAGTTACGGTACTAGCACATAATAACTGAACTATCCATTCGCAAAAAACAAAAAAGAACAAAAAAAAACATTAAAAAGCAACATGAAAGTCATTACGTTTTTAAGTTTTTGCGAAGTACGGATGACGACGGTAATAATCAAATGTCAGGCTTTCGAAAACATTCACATAAGCAATGCCCACGCATTGCTACCAACTGAGAAAATAAATGAATGACGTATAGAGGGGCCTTTGCTCTCTGTACGTCATTCATTTATTTCCGCAGTTGATAGCAATGCGTGGGCATTGCTCATGTGATTTTTTTCGAAAGCCTGACATTTGATTATTGCTGTCGTCATACTACACAACCATCGCTGTATATAAGCAGCATTACAACACCGGTCCATTAACATTTATTTTGGAGCGAGAGCATTACACCACTAAAATGCGCGCTGTTTGCTTCCTATATTTCGGAGTCGCTTGGATTGCACTAGGTAAGCTATTTCAAGGCATAGACACCTTATTCTCATGCATGCATTATGTAAAAAATAATTACGTGTAACTGGAATTGAACTTGAAATTATTTTTACGTCGACGTTCGTCGTTCGCGGCATGAAGCGAGCTGCAAAATGTGTTTTACAGTTTCTGGTCCTGGGAGGCTGGTTGTCATATCTGCGATGGATGCTTACAATAAGCCGCTAGAATTTATTCAGTGGGTAATATTTTGTTCGAAATGACAACACAAAAGAGTTTGTTAATGCTGGATTTAGATTGCTGAGGATTCAAAATTAATATTTTATAGGGGTGTGAGAATATGTGTGTTTTGAGTTCGACTCAAATTATGACTGTTCGGGTAATTCGATTTGAATTTTAGATTCCTCGTCCATGGGATTTCGGATAATTCAATAAATCGATTATTATTACAGTTGGTTTAAATAGAGTTTATTCAAACTTCGAAGAATATATTTTGCCCATTGTATCCTTTTATTATATATTGTGACAGAATTGCTAGCATAATTAAACATATTAAAAGGTCTTCGGTAGCAGGAATCGCTGATATCAATTTCAAGTCAACGGAAAACCATAAGACGTAGTCTGACATAACTTTGTCTGAATTATGTTCTCAATCACTTTAACAGAGAGCAGAAACAAGCGACTGGAAGGTGTGGAAGGTGATTCCTCTTCCCAATACTCGAGATGAACAAAATCCGTTCAACTTTCGTTCCCTCCTGCTTAACCATCATTTCATTCAAAATTTACTGCCAACTGGTTAACTTTCTCGATTCAAATTATATTTTTTGACGCATTGCAACGTGGTTTTCGAAAATTTCACCTGAAACTCAGCTCCTCACATTCGCCCGTAATTCTCACGTCATTGAGATCGAGATATTGACAAATAAATAAAACTGAGAAATAATCTTCACGTCACCGAAATTTACAAACATGCACTCAATGCAAATTTTTCAATGTCTGAAAAGCTTTCCATGATGTCTCCCACGTCTTTCTTTATCAACTTCGAAACTTTAGCATAATTTGCCCGTACGTTCTCACGTGGATCCAATAAATTTCAAAAGAACCCTCTCTAATCTGGTCATCCAAACGGAGCTAATATTCTATCCCCGCCGGGTGATTCTGGTGTCCCACGAGGCAGGCACGCAGCCAGGGGGGGGGGGGGGGGGGGGGGGGAGGGGCCATGGTGCCCGGAACCCCCCCCCCTTCCCCCGAAATTTTCCATTTTGATGGGGCCTCCTCTCCCCCTCCCCCTCACGCAGCCTTTTGTCATGGGCACCCCCCCCCCCCCCCCCCCCCTCCGCCAAAACAAGATCCTGGCTACGGGCCTGCCACGAGGCTGAGTACGGTACTCCGATTCGCTTTAAGTTCTACCGCCGCCGTGGCTACTATCCGCTGGAGCCAATAAAGCTAGCCCTAGAATTGCATTGTCACGGCACTCATGGCATTTGTGCGTCTGCTATAACCAACCAATCCAACCAGGCACAGTGAATGCGACGCCACCCTGCATTTCTTTTTTGTGCGTGATTGGTGTAGCCGGAAATAGCAAACCCATTAAAGAAGGGCCGTGACGATGTAGTCTTGGCGCTGCTTGGGCGTCCCTCTTATATATAGATGAGAATACGTTTCATCCGCTGCCTAGCTCATATGCCCTAAGGTGCCGCATCAGAGAAAAGCAGCTGTGGCTTAGTCTCATCATTGTGTCCAAGTACCATTCCTTGAGAAAATCATTGAGGTTTCAGAATGCATCCTGCTGACTGTTGCTTATGTGACAGAGAAACGTGTTTCCAGGAAGCTTGCACGCTCATACGGCGACTCCATATCTGTTTTCAAGAAAGCAAGCATAAAATTCTGGCAACCCCAAAAGGCGTGAAGCTTGGTCTTACCTGCTAGCACTGAAGCGTCTGCGATCGCCTAAACGTTGTCGGCCCTTGCATGAACCCCTGCTGCCTCAACTCTGCATCCTAGCAATCGAGCTTCGCGTAATGTAAACTTGCATGTCTATTGATAATTAGCCGGTGCTGTCGAGCCTAGACAGTACTTGGTTCAAACGTTTATTATGTTCATATTTGCTTGCTCCAGTGATAATAACATCGTCTTGATAGGGGCTTACTTCTTGTCTGCTAGCTACTCTTGTTCCCATCGTTCGTTGGAATATCGCTGGCGCTGCTAAGTTTCAAATGACATTCGTGTCACTTTATGCAATATTTTCATTGCGTTCCCTTTCAGGACCACTGCAGTGGCTTGTTACATATAATTGATGGTACACTTGACACAGTCGAACATGGATAACATGGCCCCCCCTTCTGAAATTTGGCAGGACTTGCCCTGTGTAGGAAGCGGGTACCTTGCTTTTTTGCTGCTTCGTTAACCACTTCTTGTAGTCGCCATAGGTTTAGGTAGCTCCTTTCCTTTTCGAACGAGTGCGAGCGACGTATACCTATTTAGGGTGCTCGAGTGGCTCGATTATTTCTTGACACAATGACTGTTGAGGCTCGTGAGTTACAGCTGTACGAATTGCATAACTAATCAGGTGAGCTTCGCAAAACTTTGGTGGAGGTTCATCTTGTAGCTCGAAATGTGCTGGAGGTCTTGTGTATCCATAGATATCATTTTTAAACACATGGGGTTGTCGTTGGTGGACTACATTCACCTTTGCCAGTTTGGTATGCCACTGAGCCTGGTTGATTCCTTGTACTCGGATCTGGAGCTCGTCGAACCAATATATGTAAAAAAGGTTCCAGTCGGATCGTCTTATGAACAGAAATGACAGCACGTAGTCTTTAGACTTAAAGGGCACACCTACGTAAAGCGAGCCCAGACATGTTAGACCCTCACCTTTTCAGTCATATAATTCGAGGTCGTTCTTCATGATATTGCCACGAATGACGAGGTGACAAACAAGGAATAACTGAGAAAACTGAAACCTTTATTAGGGCGAACTTGTGATCAAAACAAAAAAGAAACAAAAGATAACAGCAGAGCGTCGCGGGTGTCAAAGTCGGCGTAATAGCAGGATCGAACGCTGGGGCGTGACTGACTTCGCTTGCCATGCGGAGTCCCTTATGTATCCTCGTGGGGTTCTGGAATATTAGGCGTAGAACTTTGGGTACCTAGAACATTCGGAACTCGATCAGATGAGAATGTTCTCGAACTTACGAGAACGCCATGTAGAAAGAATAAATAAAAGGATAGTCCGCTGACTGAGCAATCGAACCTAGACCTTCCGCGCGACCTTCAAGCGCGGTAACCACTCAGCCACGCACGCGCTCGCTGCCGACGCGCGTGGTAATATATGGCGGATTCCGGAACCTGAGTTAGGAAGTTGCGGCCTCGCTAATCAAAACACAAAGTTTGGTAGAATTATCAATGATCTGAAACGGCCTTCCCACTTTTTGAAGGGAGACGTGAAGTGTCGGAAAGTGCCTTCGAGTCAACAGCTTGTTGTGTTTATAATACGAGCGTCCTCAAGAACACCATCATCATCATCATTTATTTTCCTTGAGGGCTTCAGGGGGCATTATACAAGGGAGTGAACACAATAAAAACATCAACAAAAATAGTTAATAAAAAACACGCTGTAACCTATACTTGTAATTCAGAAAGAAAGAGGTTGACGGCTGCAGCAAACTTGTTAGTGTCAGTCATGTTTACAATGAGGTCAGGTAATGAGTTCCAATCGTCAATAGCAGATGGTAAAGTCGACATTTTAACACTTCACCAACTGTCTCAGGTTGTGATATAATTCGCTGTGGCGTGCTTTGCCTTTCTACTTTTCTTTTAAGGATCCATACCTTATCGATGTGTCCGTTCGTTTTGCATGAACGATATAATGTATTATTAAATCAGCATTCTTGCGATAAATGCTCACCTGTACATTTGTAACATCGACGTTTTTGTTTTGTTTTTGTTTTTTTGTACGAAGCAGTACCTTTGCATCCTTTCAATGTCTTTTTGATTCGAAGATTTTCGTTTTTTTTTAATTTTTGTTGGTTTGTTTAGAGAGTGCTGTGGAACATGCGCTGTTGCATAACCTCTTTTAAGATAACAGAAATATATCGCGCAACGTCACATCCAGCGGAAGTTTAGTGTCTCGTTCTGGCGTTGCTGGTTGCCGAGTTTTAGCCACTGCACCGGATGATCGATGTGATGCAGGTTGCTGCGACGTCGTAGATTACACAAGCGTAGTTGCGGAGGCTAGGGCACTGAAATTGCAGTCACCAGTCGGTTGTTTGAAAGCGACAACGGAGATGTTTATCAGCGTGTTTGGTAATTGGTTTGGTTCTGAAACTTTCACCTGCTATGGAGCTTCAGTTGTCGAAGGTCGTCGTAACGGGCGCCAAACATTGTCATGCATTATTTGAACTCAACATCTCTGCGTACTCTGAGTGCCACTAACGCTCGTAGGTATTGTAAGCCTCTGGTCTTCATGGCGTTAGTAGGAGCGCTTGTTTATTGTCCATGGCAACAATGCCATTTAACACAAAGTAAAATGTGATATGTGCCATCCACGATTCTCATGACTCGCCAGAGCGTTTTTTTTTTCTTTTCTTTGAGCGACATGGCTTGTTATCGGAGGTTCCTAACAACACGTCGTTGAGTTCTTGTCAATATAGTATCGTGTTTACGAAGATGAAGCATTTTCCTCACGATTACTGAGATTTTAGTTTACTGACAGCGGTAGCTAGATTCGCTGTGATTCGTTGTGCCAATTCGTAGATAACTAAGGGTTTCTAAACTACATGGAGGGTTTCTTGCTCTAGAAGGAGCTTTGGCTCCTGCCAAAGAGATGGTCAGCTTTGCCACCTAGCTTACGTCAAATACATTTTTTTTTTGTTAAATGTGTGTTTCTTTACTGCACTAAAGTTTAGTACCATCTAGATATTATTGTACATTAGGCAATTGCCTTTTTTTCTGACGGGGGGTTATCTTAAGGTGTTTATTGAGGTATGGGAACTTTATCTATATGGAAGTGTTTGAAAATAATTCAATACCTCTCTTTGTATTTTAATTGTGTGTTCATTTACCTTTAAATTTTAAATGAATTTAGAAATAAATACCTTTTTGTGAAAGTGTTTTGTGTTCGTCTTTTAAGATGTTTTGCTAGTATTCTGTCCATCAGGGTCGCTTTAATGCCACCAAATCAACTGTTCCAAACTAATTATTTACTTACCCAAACTTATCTTCTAGAAATTAGCGGCACGGAAATATATACGACCGAAAATTGGGTGTCTTGTCTCGATCGTGGAGAACTAACATGTGAAGTTAAAAGTGGACAACATGCTTCATACAACCCAACTACGGGGTCGTGCGAGTCTGGACCTGGAACAGATTGCTATGGAAGCGAAAATTATTTCGAAAGCTTGGAGAAGTGCAACGAATTTTGCAAAAGTAAGCATATAATCAAACTATTGGTGCAATACAGTGCGCGAAAACTTAAATAAAGCTGGTGCAGGCGACACGTGTTGAGCCAATGTAATATTGTTTATCATCCCATTAGGTAATTAAAATATTTTTTTAATTTATTAGGTAACTTTATAAGTAATAATCTGTACCAGAACCCTGTAGTAGAAAATATGTAGATGGTGTTGAGAAACATCATATAGTATTATTTTCATAAAGGCAGCCTTTGTATGTCTAATTTGATTACGCTTGCAAGGACATAAGCAAAGGAAAAAACAATATTTTTTAACAGCCTGGATAATAAAAAAAGGATGTTATAAAGTAAACTTACCACGGAAAAAATATTTCTGAGCTATATTTACGGCACGAAACAAATTTGTAGTTCGTGTCCGCACAGTTCTACCATTCGTCACGTGGTAGAACTGTGCGCCGCCGCTCTGCACCGCCGGCACCGCAAGTTAAGCCGAAGCCGTTCAGCGCCGCCGCTAAAGTCCCCAAGACACTCACGCCGCCGCCGCACGCGCCAGCGGTTGAACGGCTTTCTCCACGCCTCCGCCGGTAGGGAACACTCCGACGCGCCACCGCCATCGCTTTCTGACCGGCGCACAGGTCTATCACGTGGTCCTTGCGCTCTCTGAGAAGCTTCCTTTGGGTTCAAAAAGTTAGTCATTAATCTTTTTTTTTTTTTTTTGCAAAATGAACGAATATTAATAAGTGACTTTTAGAGCCCAAAGGAAAGCTCCCGAATAAGCGCAAGCACCACTTCCGCGAGCTACTGCGGGCCCAAGCTACAAATTTGTCTCGCGCCGTTAATCCGTAAATATAGCACTATAATTAGTATCTTTTTCGTTCTAAGTTTGTTCTATGACATACTTTTTGATCTAGGCTCTTTAAAAAAATGCTTCATGCCCTTAACAAAAAATAGATGGCAATCTGCTTGCAAACTGCAATATTTCTGCCGTCAGACACTTGGATATTTTCAAAGCTCGCGCGTTTCTTGAAAGCTTGAAGAGAAATTGACGTACCAAGGCGCTACGTTGATGGAAACAAAACGATGGAATGTTCTTTAATACGCTCGATTACTTTGGTATTGGAAGGTTTGCACTCAAATTAATATTTAAAAAAAAAGTTGCATAATCAATTTGCGTTATGCAGTCAGTTTGGCAAATGACAAGACTATGCTGACCTGCTGAAAACGATTGGAAAATACTACGTTAGTTCAACACACGGGAAACAGCTTACTTACGTTTTGTCACAGGTTTGCTGAAGCAACCTGTAAATCGAATGTTTATTTTTTGCTGTGCAGACATCGCACTTCTTCGGTACTTTACGAGTGTGACGTACAATGGCTCGATATTAACTCAGATTGTGTTTAATCGTTGTATTGCAAAAAACTAAAATTGCTAAGCTCGAGCGCAAAAGAAAAGTTATAATATGTTTAGGCAGCAGTTGCATCTTGCATAAAAGTATAATTTTTTCTATCTACTATAAAGCCTGCGGTCGTTTCGTCCAGATTGACTGCTAGGTAAGTTAAGGCCCCGGTGATAGAGAGAGGCGTCTAAATTGCGTCCAACAAGTCTGTCTCTCGAAGGTTCGCTCGCATTTACGAACATGGACTTTGCAACATCACTAGGAACTCGAGAACCCGTTTTTATGCGTGATTACGTTTTGAAGAATGCTCGGCGAGCGACTGCGCCTGCGTGAGGACACTAAAGCGACAGTTCCCCCAGCCGGGAGATGCGCGAAGTCCGAGTAAAATTCTGTCTTTCTTTCTCGACTTGTTTATGCATACACATCTCTCTTTTACGACAAGCCAACTGGAGTGTACGGTGCACATAACTGACGTAGCTAGCGACACACGCTAGCACAGAACGTAAAGGACGCACGAAAATAAAACCTCAGGAATTCCAATTTGTATGCTTTGCACGCCAGTGACCGAAAAATCGCTGGCGGTTGACAGAACCACTGCTCTGGGCCGGTGGTAAACAGGGAAGCGCGCAACGGATTGATGGAAAGCGAAACCTTTTCGTGCATTGGCTAAGACGTATCGGTTTAGAGTTAGCTGGCGTATAATTTGACGGCCCTTTAACACTCTAAACCACAAATTTTGCGTCAATTCCGGACGTTGTTATTTTTCTGCTCGTATTGGTGAAGGAAATCGTTACGCTTGTTGCGCATAGGTGTGCGCGTGTTATGAAAGATTGAGGCGTTGTGTTTGTACTGTCGACATACGCGTAACCAATGTAATATAAAGCGTTAATAACCCAAAGAAGGCAATGCACAAGCACACAAAGCATTTAAAAGGCATACCTGGTCATGATAATATTGCAATTAATTCAAAGGTGCAAGCGAGCTGGACAAGAATGAATATAATAATCCCAGGAGAAAAAGGGGACAAAGGACAAAGGGGACAAAGGACAAACACAAATTTCCAATCACAGCTAGGTGACTGGTGGGGGACCCAGAAGTTCCGCCTGGTTCTGGTATCGAACCAGGCCTCAGGGACCTCTACATTACCGGTGGAGCGCTCTCGACTGAGCTAACCAGGAGTTAGACGTCAGTAGAGCAAACGGGGTTTATCAGTTTCCACCAGTTTAAGTCGACGAAGGGTGAACTGCCTGCATTTTAAGGATATGATTATAATGCAATTATTACAAAGGTTCAAGCACGCTGGAGAAGAATGACTGGAAATGGAGAGGCCCCTGGTTCGATACCACGACCAGGCGGATTTTTTCGGTCGCGCACCAGTCACCCATAGCTGTGTTTGTCCTTTGTCCCCTTTGTTCCCTCTCTCCTGGGACTATTAGCATCATACTTGGTCATAATTATAAAACATTTAAGCATAATTTTTTGTGCTTAGGTAGGTATACCAAGCAGCGCAGCATGATGCAAACACCAGACCGCGGTTGAATAACGAATATACCCAAATCTAATCGCAAGTGAGATAGGAAAAAAAGTGCACAAGGTATGCTTCAATACAACACTTTACCCCGCCACGCAGAGTATGAAAAGCGTCGCTGGTAATTTCTACCAATCTGATGCCATGACGAAAATCAATTCGTAGGAAGAAACTTCTGTTCTATGCTTTCACTGCTCTTATAATTCGTATTTACCTTTCGCGCCCTTCAACACTTCATGAAACGGTTCTATTTTCAAGACTAAAAAGCCGCGTAGTATTGTCCCGGATAAAAACAATAGACTGACGTGTAAGAAAAAAAAAAATTCAACCTTTCCACTCTGGTGAAGAAGGAAGCCCAGCGGACCTGTACTATGGAACGTAAGGGCCAGCCGCAAGTCGGCAAGCCAGAATGGAAAGGCTGCCACCATCTGTGAGCGACGGCGGCATCCAGATACGTGGCTTGCCGCCGTCACTCATAGATGGCGGTAGGTGTCCAGAGTTCGGTGTTTTCATTTCTTTGCGGGGGACACGATCACAGAGAAACGAGCCCTTAACAGCTCCGCTGTAAAAAATAAATATTTGTTGAGGCGAATGGACGCCCGAGACGGCTGAAAATAAAACAAAATAAAATTGTACCTTTCGATACAGCTACTAAAGGATGACGCACTCGAGAAAGAGCACTATAACTTTTTTTAGTACACGCTCTTTGCTCAAGAAGATTCTGAACCAGAACACACCACGACAGCTGAAAACCTTAATCTTTCAGGACAGCATTTCTAACACGAAGGACGAGGCAAATGGGTTTTCAACGCCGTTCCTTTGTGTGTAGCCACCTGAACACCAAACTCCGCCGCGCACGAAATATATCAATTACTGTAGTATTCAGTAAAAACTATACTGGTGTAAGAAATGAGGCCGTAATATTTTCCCAGAATTTAGAAAACATGTTTTATATCAAATTAAGTTGACGCCAGAGGGCGAGAGCGTCAAATTACCCATAAAAAATATATGTTTTCATTCACTTAGTCAAGCTCAATACCAACTAGAGAGTAACATATGCGTAGAAACATAATATTGGGACGTTTATCGAAATGAAATTCACGAATTATTATTCCACAAGATGCTCCGAAGCCACCTTGCTCGCTCGAAATGGATGACGGACCAGGAAGAGCTCTCCACCCACGATGGTATTTTGATACCGAAACGGCTAACTGCACTGCGTTTTACTACGGGGGAATGTTAGGAAATAACAACAATTTTCTAACCAAGGAAGAATGCCAAGCAAAGTGCAGTGGTACGTATACAGTTACAAATACAATCCTTGTCTCATTTCGTATCGATTTGCATTTCTATAATTTTGAGGCCTCTTTTTCCGTCGAAGACGAGTTCTCGAAATAATTTTAAGTTTTGGATCAAATATCTGAAGGTCACTATCTTGGCAGCGTGTTCTTCGAGGGAAATTGAACGACACAAGTGAAGACGCCACTGAAACGACTACGTCCCTCTTTTAAGCGCCGTTAAGGGCAGGGCTTCCGACGCTCTTTTTGCGTGCAATTTTTAGGTCGGACAAAGAAACGTGAAGATTTATCGGTCAATGTATCAAAAATCGTTATACTTTTCAAATTTTCAAAAGTTGGTCTCGCCTCCCCCCCCCCCCCTCCCAATAGTATTTTCCGTCAATACTACAGTTGCAGCAGGAGCCCTAGAAACATAATTAAAGATAATAATCGCAGATTTACATAGTTTCTTGACTTAACAAATTATTCCCTCACCTAATGTCCGCCGCGCCTGATAGAAGTATGGGGACTAGGACACGTATAATTTCCACCCCTTTAAATACTTTTCTGCGAATTAAGATAACACTTTTTGTAATCAAATTGTTCTCAATTGATTGGTAGTCGCAGGTAAGTGAATTCAGTTTCTGCTCATTGGAAAAAATAAGCACATTAGCAAAAGATACGTAAACCTTACAAGTTGATAAGACTGCTGACTGGGCGAGTTGGGAGTTCATGTTGAATAACGTGACAGCGCACAACAAGAGAAACACTCGCTTACACAGACACAGCAGAAAAATATACACTCACTCGGTGCTGACTCACAACTCATGGATTTGTATTGTCCTTCTTCTTCTATGCAAAAAAAAAAACCCACCTCCCCTTTGTCTATGTCCTAAGAACAATATGACGGCCTCAAATGCAAATTACAAAAAAAACACAAAATAAATTTAAGAATTATTTAAAAATCAATATTAAAAATTCAAAAAGTAAAGAATCATAAAGAATTCTCACTGCTGGTGCCTAAGAGAACTTTTTGTTAAATATTCCAGCTTCCTTTGTGGAGAGTTAAAGATGGCCTGCTAACACAGTTGTCAATGTGTCCATCGATGCTTGCTGCCTCGATAATCTCCTTGGTGAGCTGATTGGGGCTCCTTCCCAGCACGGCATGTATGCTGGTCTTATGAGCCTAGAGGAAAAAAGCCGCTCCTTCCATTCCACTCAGCGCACTCCAAACTAGTGAAGAGAAGCGTCGTGAGGATGCGGCTAAAGAATTCAATCACCAAATCGTGCACGCACACAATTGAAAAGAGCTTCAATTTGCAAGTCGCAGTGTTTAAGTCCGCAGAATACCCTGATTTCTTATTGACGTCGGTCGTTGAAAGGCTCCTTAAAGAGATCAAGCAAGATGATGGCGTGAATCGAAACCCCAGGGACAAGCCAAGAAGACCGGTGGTAATACCATGCATGTATAAGTTCCCCTATAGCCTTAAGAGGCAAGCGAATAGCGTTAACGTAGATGTAGTTTTTTCAGCCCCAAAACAGCTCTACAGCGTGTGTAAAAAGGTAAATTCGACTTCAAATAACGCTGTAAGTTGCACCAAAAAGCACCGAACCTAATTTGGTCCCTGTCTGGGAGTAATTTATTCCTTCCCACTTTCCTGTGGGCGAGTGTACATAGGACAAACTGGTCAGTGTCTGAATGACCGTCTTCGGGAGCATGCCAACAACGTCGTCAACCCCAACTCTGGACATTTGGGAGTGCAATGTAGGGACTGTGGGTGTCCGGCTTGTTTGAGCAACTGCAGCGTGCTGGGAAGGAGCCCCAATCAGCCCACCAGGGAGATTATCGAGGCTGCAAGCATCAAAGGACACATTGACAAGTGTGTCAGCAGGCCATCTTTAACTCTCTCACAAAGGGAGCAGGAGTATTTAACCAAAAGTTCTCTTTTTGTAATTTGCTTTTGAGGTCGTCACCTTGTTCTTAGGACATAGAAAAAGAGGAGGTGGGTCTTTTTGCATAGAAGGAGACAATACAAATCCATGAGTTCTGAGTCAGCGCCGAGTGAATGTATATTTTTTGGTGTGTCTGTGTGAGCGAGTGTTTCTCTTGTTGTGCGCTGTTACGTTATTCAACATAAACCTTACAAAATTTTTATTCCTCTAATTTATGAGCTAAAAATCTATCTCACAAGGTGGCCCTCGAACGCCAGGCCGATCGGAATGATGTTTAAGTAGTGAAATCTACCGTCGTTATTTCTTGCACGGAAAGAGCGCGAAAGGGAGGAGCACGTTCTGTAACATAATTCGCGCTTCTGCGGTCTCTGATAGCCCTCTGCCTGTTTGGCCGAAGAGTGGTGAGGACACGGCATCATAAAAGACCACTTCACATCTGATAAATCAACTTGTTTCTACCCCGCCACCCCGAGTACAGAACCAAAACGTGCAGGATCTCAGGAGCTCACTCCAGACGAGCGGCTTATCGTAGCATCTCTTTCTACACTGTGCGTAAACTCAGGACGGGTTGTTTTAACATTACCCCAAAATGACTGTAGTTCTTTTCACCGAAGGTCGAGGCGCAGCCGACGCTATGAGCTGATGAGACTTATCACACAGTGCAAAAAGAGCACCATCATGGTGTTCGTCATGTTTCTGTACGTGTTCTATTATCTCTCAATCAACCATAAAAAGGAAATACTCATTTACTTGCGCTTCCAAGGCTGTTTGATTGGTCCCATTAGCCGGTAGCGTTGGCTGCTCGGACACAAAGGGGCTCTGGAATGACGTCTTTATTTATTTTATTGGCGCCTCCCATACTCTAAAAAAATAAGCTCCCGGAATGTTTTTTTTCCCCTTTAAGGTTTAGATTCATTGAAACGACAGTGAAAAGATGCTATAAAGTTTGGGTTATTTAATGTAAAGATTATTTACTTGAAGGATACGAGTCCTTTACTGTTTGCAAAACCAGTTTTTATTGCATCGATTGTACTTCGAAATTTATGTTCATATCTACCTGTTTTTGCCCCTAAAACAATGTAACTTTATAACTCTTTCTTAATTCTTCAACAGGTTTTTCATTGCTCAGGAAATTAAATTAAATCTCCCACTTTATGGATGATGATATAGATTTCTGCCGTCGCAACTGAAAAGTCCCAAACGAAATTGACGCAAACTCGGAAGGGATATATAGTTATTCCATAAATTACAGTAGAGAGATAATTTAAATAAAATATATAACGGCAGTGTCTATATCACAAGTAATAAAACATGTGTTTTATTTTTGCCTCGAGTGCTTTGTATTTTGTAATGTACTAGGGTTTTGAGAAGTATTTTTGGGAATACATATCAATATTTAGAACGTGCACTTTCATATTATCAGTGCATTTCCTTATAGCGCTCCAACATGTTTATACAAACTTTGCAAACAGTAAGTGAACTTTTAAGATCTTTAGCTTCTGCATCAAAACATCAAACATTAAATGAAGACAAATATATGAAAAAGCGCCGCCGTTAAAAAAATAAAACAATTAATAAAATAATTTGTTGAAGAACTTGAAATACTCTAGTCTTACAGGTTAATCATTTTGTCGCTGTTTTTTCTTCTCACATACCTGGCCAATTGGACAATACTAATTAAAGGAATTCTGGCGGTTTTCAACTGAGTTTAGGAATTTGAAATCCTGTTTGTTTATAGCGTTTTTTTGCACGGTCGTTTATAAAATGCATTCAACCAAGCAAGTCTATACATGTCCTCAGAACACATATTGCCTTCATTTTAGGAATTATTTAGAGTATTCCTATTACAACCGACGCTTACGTTTGAAGTAAACAGCCAGAAGTATTTTTTTACTTACAGGAAAACAAACCACCCACTAAACGTTTTTTAGAAGTGCCGAGATGGGGAGGGGTGCTTCACAAAATAATTGCTTCCCCCCCCCCCCCACCAAAAAAAAAGAACAGTAATGAAATATTTCTAGTACACTGAAGGGTCGCTAATAAAATCGATCTTTTAAGGTCAAGCGAAATAGTAGCGGTAGCACGGAAGGCCTACACCAGCCCCGCTACAAAAACATGCACCCTCACAGCGCCAGCTGAAGGGTAGGGAAAGTCGGAGTAAAATGAGACTGCATTAAGGCTGGGAGTTGGTCTAGTTCGTTCTGATTCATACTAGGAATCTACGCAAAAAAGAAAAAAAGAACAAGGGAAAAGCAATAAGCGGGACAAAAAGATTAGTGGCACAGAGGACACGGCGTAACTTTTAACTGAAATTTATTAAAATACCTATATACAAATTGAAAAATTTCTTGGGGTTTTTAAGTACATTCGTTTTGCGCATTGGCAGTTTTCCAATTTTTATATGTTTATTCTGACACATTTCACTTGAAAGTTACGCCCTTTCCTGTCTGTCATTGATCTTCTTGTCCTTGTTTTTCTGTTTGGCGTATATTTCCAATGCAAAACAAGACAATTTTCAAGTCTATGCTATATTTTGTTACTGCAAATTAAGGAACAAATTAGCAATTTGTTTGCTGTCTTGACATTGAGGAAAGTAAAAAAAATAGCTAGGGTAGAGTTTTAAAACTGCCTTCGTGTAAAAATGCGGAAGCATTCGTTACACGCAGCGCATTCCTTCAAGCAGCGCGCCACGCCTTCCTTTTGCACACGGCACTCCGACGGTGACATCACGCTCCCCCACTGCGCAGGCGCGGCGCCTCCCTCGGCTCCACGGCTTCCATGACCATGCATCTTAGTTGCTGGGCTTTTTTGTGTGCTTTATTTATTTATTTATTTATTTTTTTCCGAGGCGCATTGTTTTGACATGTAGCGGCCCGGAGGCTTCCGCGACGAAGCATCTTATATGAGTCGTCGCAGCCAATGGGATTTTTTTTTTTTCAGTTCGGTGCATGGGCTTTGCTCTATGAGACAGCGGAATTTAGGGACCGCCAATCTTGGTGCCGTTTTGCGGGGCTTCAAAAGCTGATAACGCCGGTTCGCTCCATGGGACAGTTAATGTTTTTGCATTAATATATTCACTGACAATTGCAGCGCGTTCGTTGTTGAGGGCGGAAGAGATGGTAGGACCGACTTCGAGCTTCAGTGAAAACGTTCTAGTCTCGTGCCGTTCAGCTTGCGCAGACAAGTCTTTGAAGCCGTTGTCAATGCCGACGCTGAACAGATGGATCGTTACGAAGCTACCTCTTTAGTGCTGTCGCCTGCATGCTTGTAGGCTGCAGGCGACGGAGTGATGAACGGTTGTAAACGCAAAGGGTGATGGTGTCGCCGTTGCTTTGAGTTAGGAGGAGCAGGAGGAGTATAGGAGGTTGATTGCAAAAGACACAGTACAGCGACATGGCAGAGAACTGTGATGGACAGCGTTCGGAAGCCGTGCAGGCAGTGGCGTCGGCAGAAATTTATTTCAGTGGGACGGAGGTGTCTAGGATGTCTATGACTTGGGATACGGAGGGGGGGGGGGGGGGGGGAGTGCTGGTTAAAATGCATATGTATATTATAGGGTCAGATGGATTTGTGAAAAGGGAAGGGGGGTGTCAAAGCTCCATAACCCACCCCTCCTCCCGGCTACGCCACTGCGGGCAGGATAATTGGTGTTGATTAAGGCAGTGGGGCAACAGAGAGTGAGGACATCGATCCGTTCGTGCTGTAGGTCCGGCTCCATGGCGGCTCAGAGCGTTTGTCTTCGGGTACGAGGACAGATGGCGATCAGATGTGGGGCAGATGCAATGTCATCCCCGGAGCTGACTAGCCGAGCGAATAGCGACGAGAAAATGACTGGCGTCTCAACAATGTGGAGTCCCTGGTTGTCAGCGACATGCCTTGTTCGGACAGTGTGGCGAGCCGTGTCTTGCAATGCCCCAGCGTGGAGTGGTGCGGCACGCCCCACGCAGCTTGGCAGCAGGCTACCGTGCCAGGCCAGCACAGCGCTACACAGACGGACACGGCTGCCGGGGCGACACCAGGGTTGCGGCATGTGCTGAAAATGCCTGCGTTTACTTGTCGAGCACGTGGGGCGAGCGAGGCGGTCGCAGCGCGTTGCTGGGAGACGCCGGACGCGGAAGTGGCAGACACGGTGGCGGAGGAGGGGGCTCCGGATGCGGGGACCATGGAATATATTCCTCCCGCATATTCGACCGAAAGGCCGAGCCATTGCCACTCCCCGGGCAGCGGAAAACGCCGGGGTCACCAATTTGTAGCGCGTTGGTTGTTGAGAACGGAAGAGATAGAGCGACCGACTCCTAGCTTTGGTGAAAGCGCTCTGTTTATTCTCGTGCTGTCGAGCTCGCGCCGACAAGAAACTTTGTTATCGTCGTCGGTGCCGACGCTGTACCGATGAAAAGCCGCATTAATAAAAGTCACAGATGTCTCATTTCGCACCAACCCCAGGTGTAAACGAGACAGCTAAGGGAGCAAAATGAGACACAGTGTCAAAATAAAAGGACAGCCCAGTTCTCACTTTAAATTGAAAAAATAAAACACAAAGGACAAGCAAAAGAGAACCACGTTCTCTCATTTATCAACAACGTTAATTTTTGGCAGGAAAATTCATTTTAGATTTTACGTATTCATGTTCAACTCACTCGCTTTTCCACCCCAGTTTTTGCACTCGGAACATTTGAAATATACACCATGGGCAATCTTCGCGAGCGCCCTCTTCGCACGCCGCACATTGTATCTTCATACAACGGGAGACTTTTTCTCTCCATAGCTTTTTGTACTTGTTGTAGATCATGCAGATTAAGGTCAGAAAACGACAAACAACTCTTCCGCTTCCCGTCAGGCAAGAACGCTAATGTGAGGCGGAGGGGAGTTCGGCTTGCCATTATAAAACAAAATAATTCCAAGCCTGTGGTGTTCTGAGGACACGAAGAAAAGTCCGTCCAACCCTTCGAACGTTGAACTAAAATTGACTTTTTATGTTAGTGAATTGTTTCCAGATGATGTTACGTTATATACACCGTTGCCAGCATAAAAACTGAAAACAACATCATCCCCCCGCCCCCCCCCCCCCCCCGGCCACAAACAAAACAACTAAGCGAAATATAGCTATTTCATATGGAAGTTTTGGAAACGGGCGGGACGCCGTAGTTCTCTTGTCGAGGGCTCTCTGCGAGATCCGTCCGTCCGCATCGTTTCTTTAGCCTGTAGGCGCCGTAGAATCTTCCAGTCGATGTCTAACAACAGGACTTTCATATTGTGACACTTGTACCGGCGACGTCAAAAATTCCTCACGTTGTGCTTCAACAGAATCTGGTCAAATAGTAATTTGTATTGGCGTCGCCGAAGCTTCCAAACGATGTTTATCAGCGGGATGGGCTTTTTCTGATATTTGAAATGGCGTCGCCGAAACTCCTAGGCGATGTTCCTCAACCGAGTTTGCGGCTCCTGAAATTTGACATGGCGTTGCCAAAGCTTCGCGATTCTACCCGACGGAATATTCACCTTGGTTACCCGAGATCGGTTCTCCCGGCTGACTGTTCTTAATCTCCAGGAATGGGTAGCGAGCGTAACAACTGTTTACCTCTTTCAGTGGTGCATTCATCAGGCACAGTCACCCCCTTGGAGGCATTTCCAACTGCGTCCGTCCTCCAGGCGAAAAGTGCCTGTACCCAACTGTTTTTTGATAGGATGGACGCTTGGGCGAGTTGGTGAACTATATCCTACGGTGACAGCGCAGAGATACAATCACACACCAGATACTCAGAAAGACAAGCACACTCTTGTGTATTTGACGACTTCGTTCTTCTCTTCAACGTATGGATTGACTTTGCAGAACGTGATAACCAGAAGAAATAGCGCAAAATACATGAATTAAAAGGCGAGAGACAAACTAAAAGAAAAGGAAAAGAGAAAAGATAAAAAAAAGAAACGAAAAAAAGAAACGGAAAACGGAAACCCTCGAGTCATCCCTCTCCCTCAACGCTATCATTTAGATAGAAATTGGAGCTCCTTGGTCAACAGCGCCATAAAAGGACTACTTACACACTTGTCCTTCAGATGCTCTACTCTTTCCGCGTCCATTACTTTTCTTGTCAGTAATCTCGACTCCTACCTATTACATTCAGCGCGTGTGCTTCTTTTTCGG